TGGGCAGCCCTGGGGCAGCCGATGCTCTGCCACCGTCCGTCCCCGGGAGGTGGGTCCCGTCCCCTCCCCCTGCCTCAGTTTCCCCTCTTGCAGCACAACCCCGCTGTGCCAGCAGCTCCGCATGGCTGGAGGCTGCTCCCGAGATACCCGTCCCTGGGATATGGTAGTTCCCGGGGAAGGGAGCCCTTGTTCCCAGGGTTTTTCCCAAAGCTGGGACGTTCCCATGTCAGGGAGCAGGGTCACCGGGGGGCTGGCTGAAGGCAGGTCTCCCCCAGTACCGGGGGGAACCGGGAGCCCTCGGGGTTTGGCTGTGCCCTCCGCGGTGCCGACAGCTCCGCGCTCAGTGTCCACCACTCTGCTGTCTCCCCAGAAACACCCCGACTTCCCCAAGAAGCCCCTGACTCCCTATTTCCGCTTCTTCATGGAGAAGCGGGCCAAATATGCCAAGCTTCACCCCGAAATGAGCAACCTGGATCTCACCAAGATCCTGTCCAAGAAATACAAGGAGCTTCCCGAGAAGAAAAAGGTACGGGAGGAGGGGAGAGTCAGCAAGGCCCTTCCCACTCGTGTGCCTCTGCGTGCCGGGCTCTGCCTGCCCAGCTCTCCCAGTAAAACCAGCAGAGCCCAGTCTCGACCTGGTGAGGGTTTAATCTGGCTCTGGATGGGAGAAACCCGGGTGCTTGTTTAGTCCTGTCAGACCAGTAAGACTTCCTTGCCTTTTCCTGTCCTGGTTCCCAGGATCTGTGGGGTGGAGGCTGGCTGGCTCTGTCCGTTGGTCCGTCTCTTCCAGACGGACCTGGACGGTGACTTTGCTGTTGGGTGGATCTGTATTTAACACCGGGGTTAAATCACGCGCCCCGCCGTGGCCGCCCTGTCCGAGCGAGGGATGGAGGGGCAGGCTCTGCTCCGAGCCGTGGGAGATGCTGGGAGGAGAGCTGCCCGTCTCGCCTCCAGAGCTTGGGCTTGGCCAGAGCCCGGGCAGGCGTTTTGGGTGCCCTCGCTCTCAGCCTGGGTGGATTTGCCGGCGACAGCAAAGGTCTAAGGCACAAAGTCCTGCTGTGGCCCCTTGCCCAGGGCTGCCTGGCTGCAGGGAGAGGCGGGAGATCCTGCCTCTGAATCCCTGGGCGGGCTGGAAACCCTGGGCTGGGGGCTGCAGGGCCAGCCTGATGGGCTGGAGAGCCCGCGCGTCCCTTTGGGGGTGGTGGGGTGCCCAGCCGGCAGGGTCGACAGGGCTGTATCTGCCTGCCCGTTCCCTGGTGCTGATGTCCCTCTCCACCTCCCTGGTGGCTTTGTGTCCCCAGATGAAATACATCCAGGACTTCCAGCGAGAAAAGCAGGAGTTTGAGAGGAACCTGGCGAGGTTCAGGTGAGCGGGCAGCCCCCGCCCCACGTTTCCCTGCGCCCCTCCAGGCCGACCCGCTCTCCCCTCCTACGTGTAGCTCACGGAGAAAACCCTCGTAGGGCTTGAAGGCAGAAGGGAAGGGGGGATGCTGGGAAAAAAAATAATAAAAAAATGAGGAAAAGGTGTCTGAGAGCAAGCCCTCCAGCTGGGAGACTCCAGGGGGAGAGAGTGGCAGGCCAGCCGTGCTCTGGGGGTTAGGGTCTGCAAGGGGAGGGCAGGAGCCCTGCCACCGGCACCGGTAAAAGCCGAAGCGACCACCTGGTTCCCCCCAGACCTTCCCTTTGAGCGTGGTCGCTGTGACCCAGGCGGATCCTGGCGTTCCCGATGCCCTGCCGCTGCTCCAGGGATGCAGCCCGGCGCGTTAGGGGGGATGCTTGTAGCTGATGCTGCCTCAGGAGGGGCAGAGTCCTAAAACCTTCCTGCTCT